ATGCTGAAAATGTTGGGTATTTTCTTCCACTTTCCATATTAAAATGGCTACACAAAAATGCACCAATTTTGGTAAGTTTATTTTTAATGCACGCCGATATGACAGCTGTCACAATACAACCTAACAAAATTGTTTCGAATGAAGTGAAAGACAACTAAGCACCACTAGAGTCATCTTACGGAAAAAAACAAATGAACTTTTTGGCCAACCCAGTAAAACTGTTCTGATTAAGACAGGTGCTGCTGTGCTGGCTGGTGTGGCTGAGTAGACTAAGCGCTGGCCTGAGAACCAAAGGGTGCCAATTTGATTCTCAGTCAGGGCACATGCCTGGGTTGCGGGCCTAAGGCAACTGACTAAAGTTTCTATCTCATATCAGAGTTTCCCTCCCTCTTTTTCTCTCTCCGTTGCCCTTTCTCTAAAAACAAACAAACAAACAAAACAAACCAACAAACAAATAAACAAACAAACAGCAGGGGCTGGAGGCTGAAGCTTATCACCTTCTTAGATTTCTACTTTGTTTCTTTCGGGCACCTCTATGGACTCAATCCTAAAGTTCAAGGAGAGAAGGTGTGAAAAAAGCCAATTCTAGTCCAACCCCTTCAGTTTACAGTTGAGGGAAATAAAACCAAGCTTAAGTAATTTTCTACAGTCACAAAGCTATTCAAATTAAAAGCCAGGACTAGAACTCAAAATTTTTTATGTTTAGTGCTTTTTCTACATGAAACATTCTGCATAAAAATTCTATTAACTCCTTTTCCTCAGCAAAAATAAAATACTGGGACCTTTCTAAAAAGTCTAAGTAACTCATACTTAGCATTTGTACCCAATACTTACTTTTCAGTTACAGACTCTGAAGGAGGCCCAGTAGCATTCTGACCATTAGTGCCAACCTTCCCCACTTTCTTCACAGTCTCCAGAGCTCTTAATGCACTGTCAGTATTACGTGGGATTAGCTGGGCAACACTGTTTTCTGCATTGGAAATTCCATTTGTACTTGGAACAATTTTCCCCGTTGTTTCAGTACTTCCTATGACAGAAATGACATTTCCGGCTGTGGTTGTGACAGTGTTGTTTACACCAACTTTATTTAGAAGAGGAAATGTTCTTACAGTTGCATTGATCTTTTTGTTCCTTAATCGGTACCTGTTTTAAAAACAATCAATACATTGGTGAATATTTCACTGAGTCTTACCTAAAAAAAAGGCTATGGGAAGATTTAAAAAGAAGGAAACAGCTTTGATAAAGTTTGTTTAGCTAAATATCATACACAGTCTACATCAGGCTCTGCTATAATAGATACCACACGAAAGTACATATATCATTTACCTATGTGTATGCACACACATGTATATGTGAGCATGCACATGCATGTAGGTACGTAATTAATATAGCAGGCAAAGTATATATGTATTCAAAGAAGCCTTTTGAGGGATTGGAAAGAGATCCTTTTGAATACTTTGTCTAACTGGAATATAAAGTACACTCTGTAAAGATAAATTAGCCATACAAAATTTAGTTGGAAATGTGGCATGAAGAGAAAGGTATGCAAGAGGAGAGAAAATTCTCTGTTGTTAGCAAATTGTTCAAGTATTATATAATTTAAAAAAACCCAAAAACTAAAATTCACTTGTACATAAATAGATTAGTTTATGAGATGATATCACAAAGATAGGTACAGACTAGAGAAGCAGGGTCTTAAAGGCCACAATCTAGACTTTGTATCTTTATCCACAGGGTAATGACAATACATTTAAATTTTTCATTGTTTGCAATTTGCCTTGCAGCAGTCTTCCCTATTTTGGGAAATAATGGGACTGGGAGTGGGCAACAGCAGTGTAAGAAGGCCAATTAGGCAGCAACTGTGGATCAAGACAAGGGGATGACGGTCTGGACTATACGAATGAAAAGATGAAGGAAGAGTTGAGAAGTATATGGGAAGCTGAACTGATAGAACTTAGTGACTAAGACAAGAGGTGAAAGAAAGTTGACAAAGTTAATTCCTATAACATTTATTAACTGGCTGGACCAGGTATACTGGGGAGAGCAGGATGGAAGGTCTAAGAGGAGGATACACAAGAGTAGAAAATGAGCTCAAATTGAGTTTGAAGTGTCTAAAAACAAAAGGGAGGTGCCCATTAAGAATTGATACACAAACCAGTTATTCAGTAGAACGGTTGGGATCAATTTTTTGGTGAAATCTCAGTGATTCCCCCAAACCTCAGTGATGAACGTTTTGGTTAAAAACAACAAAAACTTAGACAATATATAATATAGCTTATATCCATTTACTTTTATGTTTGGGATAAATGGACACAGAAAAAGGAACTACCCAAGGAGAAGAGAAAAAGAAAAGAAGATGACCCACAGTCAGCCCTGGTTGGTGTGGCTCAGTTGTTGGAGCATCATCCCGTAAACTGAAAGGTCACAGGTTAGATTCCCAGTCAGGGCACGTGCCTGGGTTGCAGGTTCGGTCCCAGTGGGTGTGTGCGTGTGAAAGGTAACAAAGAGATATTTCCCTCTCCCTCCCTTCCCTACTCTCTAAAATCAATAAGCATGTCCTCTGGTAAGGATTTAAAAAAACAATGTTGAAATCATCTATAATTCCCCTCACACACTGTTTAAAAACTTTTTTAAAAGACTGAAAGGCACAAAAATAAAATGTAACTGCTTTACCATTTTACCTGGGCCTCAGTTGTTAGTCCTCAACTGAACCTGAGCAAATTAAGATTTCACACAGGGGTACTTTCATTCTACAAAGGTGCTTAGCAGAAACATGTATTTTGGCTACACAATGATCTAAAATATAAACCCTGAGTAAAATAAGTCATTATGTTAGTCTTGCTCCCAGAAGCAACAAGGTACTTAATTGCATCCTGGAAACTCATCACAAACTTTAAGATTGTATCTAACTTTCATAATGACCAAAAATTAAACCTATATCAAAGAGAATTCTCATAACTTACTTTTCAAGCTCTTCCTGAGAATGGGCAAAAGTACAATTTGTTCCTCGTGGACACCCTCCTTGCTGTCTTAGATCTCGGCACATACTAGTTTTATATTTGCTGTTTGGCTGGGGCTACAAAAAGAAAATTGGTGTGTGGAAAAGTGAAGATTTCAGGTGTTATTAACTCATGGGACTTCAAAATTTCATGATTACACCTTTAGTTCTTTTTCACATTAGGTAAGTAATTTTCGTACTGAAACAATTACTATTTCATCATTTCCTGTTAAGAGTTGTGTGGCGTAACATTGAGTCGACATTTCAGATATTCCTTCTGAGGACACTCTGAAACTGGTTCAAATGTTGTATCTATTTGTCAGGCAACATAATGCACATGAAAACAAAAGATTTTCTCCTTAACTCACTGTTGTGTTAAAATTATGATACTAAAATCAAACCAACAATTTAAAAAAACATTAAGACCCTGGCTGGTGTTGGCTCAGTGGATTGAGCACCAGCTTGTGTACAAAAGTGTCACTGGTTCAATTCCCAGTCAGGGCACATGCCTGGGTTGCCGGCCAGGTTCCCAGCAGGGGTGTGTAGAGGCAACCACACATTGATATTTCTCTCCCTTTTTCTCCCTCCCTTCCCCTATCTCTAAAGATAAATAAAATCTTTCAAAAAAAAAATCAAAAGGCATTAAAGGCCATTAGCTTGTTTACTTAAGTTTTCCCAGAATATATAAATATGATTTCCCCAAAAGTGAAAAATTAACAAATACCTATTTGTCAACTTGAGGGTACAACTCTCTTTTAGGCTTGGAGTTAAGTTCACACAAACAATGAAGCAAAAAATAAAAACCTCATAATACCTGCCATGATTTGCATCAAAATCTAAAATGTCATTGTTATTTCTGTGACCTTAATGAAGATGAAACATTTATCTTTCAGTTAATATTTGAATGTCGTAATATCTTCTAGTGGCATATCAATAGAAGATTGGAAAGATCACTTTAAAGGAGATTTGATCCCCGCTCTGTCACTTACAACCACTATGACTTTAGATATGTCATTTAATCTCTTTAAACTTCAACTTGGGAATAGCAATTATCTTGTAGGTGACTGCGAGAATCAGACATAATACACATAAAATATTCAACATAGGGACTGGCTCAGAGCAACTTAGAAAATAGACATTATCATTAGAATAAAGGATTTATACCTCAAATAACTCCTTCTAAAGTACATTGAAAATATTTTAAAAATTCAAATTCCACACACTTACAAATAGAAAATCACTGTATGACAGCAATGAAGAAAAAAGTGACAATTTCTCCACATTAGAAAATAATTAGACAAAACATTTGGAAGCAATCAACAATCTATACTTGGTCAAAGCCATCTGCAATGAACTCATACTCAAGATACTCTCCACATTGTTACTGCGCTAGGAATTATTTATCAGGTACACTACAACTTGAGTTTCCCCCAAAAGAACAGACAATAAAAACGTATAAGAGAGTAGAGTTACGTAGTCCATTAACCAAACAGCTTGTTAAGTGTTAAGGATGAACTTTTGTTAGAGAAAACAGCAGAAGTACAATAAATGTGCTCACCTGAGGGGTCTCATGGCCTTTTCTACTATAATTCTGTATGAAGTCCACAAGCCCATGAACCACTGTTTTAACAGCTACCATTGCATTTTCTAGCTGCTCCCAAGTTGGTGAAACAGCATCTAAAATAAGCCACCAAGGAGATGGGAAGGAGGGATTTGTCAACAAAAATTCTCTTGTTATTATAAAAGTATTAAGCAAGCAAATGAGTATTTTCCTACATACCTGGGTTGGGGTCTATGTTTGCAAGAAGTTCTAAATGAGGCCTCAGTCTATTTAAGTTAGCTGGGTCACCAGTTCGTTGCAAAACAATGGTCAATTCCTGGACACTCTTTGCAAATGATTCTGGAGACTGCAGCTAACAAACAGAAGACAGAATGATTTTTACTCTGGTCCTTATATGACGCATCTATATTCAAATGCTTTCATTCAGTTAACATACTAAATAGGTTTTCAAGTGTCTTCAGATTCCATAGAATGAGTATCAATGGTGAATCAGATTTTCACCTCAGAATCTGCCCTATGAAACTCATCATTAGACACCGAGAAAATTTATTTATAAGCTATATTAACTCTCTGGAGTCAGAAAGGAGATAAATAACTGACTTTGTAAGCCAGGCTGCTTTTATGCTAATATTCTGTATTTGCTTCCCTTAGTTTTTTTGAAAGTTAAAAAAGAACAAAAAGAAAAAAAGAATTTATAGGATTCTGATGTTTAAAAACATAGGAATGAATCTCCAACTGTTTCTCTCTTTAGTCCCTTCAGAAGATTTCAGTACTCTCCAATGTAACAACGATACAAATCGGCATCTCTAATTTCACAAACCTTATCAATAATAGATTGCATGTGTGATTTATGTGCCAAGTCACCATAAAGAAGTGAGGACCACTGCTCGGGTGAAATACGGAGTCCTGCTTCCATAGCGATGTGAACAATTTGGGCATCATGCTCTCTGCGTAATGCCTCATAACTCCGAAACTCCTCCTTTAGCTGCATCAGAGAAGAGTCTTCATCCCTTTTGGTAACCTAAATAACAGAAAGGAGACAGAACACCACCCATCAGGTCTGTTCTCTTTCTTCCCCCATCCATATGTTTTTTTGAGGGGTGCGGGGTGGGGAGAAGCTACTATAAATCAGATACCACACAAAGATGATACAAAGAAGAAAATGTCCTTACCACAAATTCATTTTAGAACAAAGCAGAACACATAACTTAATACATAGTCCTGCCTTCTTCCAATGAGCTCAGCAGCTGGCAGGGAAGAGACATAAAATTATGGTATAGGTGCTATTATAAGGCTCTATGGCAGTGGTTTCACCCAGTGTGCAGCAAGAATTTCTAAAACATGCAATACCTGACTGTTTAGTGGGGGATACTGACCTTTTCCCCTTAGACTGTCAAATTAAAAAATGACAACAGGCAACACAACAGCAGCCATCCCGTGTAAATGAATCGGAATTATACCTATCTTTTTTGTCAGATTGGCAAAAAATATATTTTTTTGGTGTGCTGCAGAATTCCAGAAATTAACTTATGTGTGTCATGAGATGAAAAAGGTTGAAAAATCACTGTTCTATGGCAATATAAAAAAAAGGAAGTTAAATCTGATTGGTGAGGGAGAGAAGGGGTATCAGAGAAGGCTTTCCCCGGCTGAAAGCTACATAAACGGAGTCTCTCTAAGAATGAATAGGAGTTCCCCAGGCAAAAAAAGGTAAGAAATTGAATTCTAAAAAGAGTAGCAAGTGGTAAAACAGAAACATGAAAGAGCTGAGCACATAGAATTGAAGCCTAACATGTAGGCTGGAAAAGAATCATAGAGGGCCTTATATACTATGGTTAGAAATCTGGATATTATCCTGAGGAAAATGGGAAGCCACTGAGAACATTTAAGCAAAGGAGTGTCATGATCAGCTTAGCCAATTAGCACCACCACATGATGATGAAGAAATTTTTCTGCCACCACAAAAATGATCATTAGGATATTTAGACAGCATTAATCTATATTTCACTTAAGTGATAAAATAGAAAGTTATAGAGTTTCACATGTTCTAGTGAAACTGTCTCATTATACAATGAGGTAGGTACATGGCCAAATAATTTCCACAAGAGATGATGCACACTTACTTTTGAATCACTAAAACTTGCTAATGGCCACTGTGAAATTTGAAATTTAGGGTTCAGAATACACAGGATTAGTCCAGGGTCTGAAATTTAGACTGGACAAATCATTTATACTGAAAATGATGATATTCTCATTGGTACAATGAAAATATCCCAGACCACTTCACTGGTTATTTCTATTGCTGTTGTTGGCACATGAGACAACAGTAATATGCCCCTAAAAACATGAAAATGGGCAGATCAAGTTGTCATCTGAGAGTTAACTTAGTAGTACCAGTTCACAAGTCTCTTTGGGAATATATAAATACTGTACAGCATATAAAGTTTAGAACACCCAAAGTTCTAATCAAAATGATCTTAGGTATAATTTAAGAAAGTGCAGAATGTAACTGAGAAGTCACACACTGAGGAAACAAAAGGAGGAATTACCATCTTAAAAAGCAGAAAAAAGAAACCCAAAGAACCAGAGGATGATGGCACCCCTCTAGCCACCATGTAAGTAAGGTCCAAGGTCCCTTTCTGGGCAGTACACACACCTATCTGCCTGAACAGGAAAGATGGACATAGGTGTCTAAGAGAACCTGGTCCTATTAAAGTTCTATTAAGATGCATCAAAATCACCCATGAAATTTTGAAAACTATAATTTCAGGTCTATTAAATCAGAACCCTTGGCCTAAAGATCACATTAATTTAAAGTATATGTAAATGCTCATGTGCTACATCAGACACACTAAATCAGAATATTTGGGGATGGGACCCGAGAATGCATATTTTCAAAGTCTCCATAGATGGTTCTCATGTGTTCTTTCAGTTGAGAAGCACTACATTAAACAGAATCATTAACTCCCCTTGTCCTGACTTCATGCTAAAAGCCAAGTAAACTTTTGATGCTCTTTTACAAGAAAAACATCTTCAACGTGAGGATTCAAGTCAATTAAGGTTGCACTTCTCAAAAAATAAAGAAAACCGCAACAACGAAAAAAAGAGTTGCACTTCTCGTTACAAATTGAGAAAACTGACAATACGTATGTGACCTTAGTTAGAGTAATGCTGTTCCTGAGCAAAAAATGCACTGTATGTACCAACAAAATTCAGGTCTCAAAGCCTATAGAGTCAGGAGAAAGACCTTTGATAATGGTGAGTTTGCTAGAGTAAATGCCACCTGACAGAGAGGACCTTTGGCACTTAAGTCAGTATGATATCCTTATATTTATCTAAACATTTTAAACTACAGGACAGTGAGGATAAAATGAGAACATAAAATTGAAATAAATTTCTAAACTAATGTTATTCAAACATCAGATATTGTTAGTAGCTATAGATGTGTATGTACAATCTAAAACACAAATCAGTATGATACCTATGGGGGGAAACCCCATTAAATCAGTAATACATAGTATGAGAACCTAGTCAGTCAATTCAGGATGACAAATGATCTCTGTAATTTGGCTGCTTAGCTCAAAAACATAATGTTTGAGGAACCACAGATTCATTCAGTGTAGTCCTAAGGACACAAAATCAAGTACTACAATATCAGGCAGATAGTAGCCAAGCCTCATTAATGGAGACAAGTGAACTCACTTGAACACATTTCCATAATCATTAATTGTTTTCTCAAACTAAATACTCTGCCAAAAACAAAACAAAACAGGACAGAATTTTTCCTGTCTGTACTGTTTTTACTCTTGGGCTATAAAACCAGCAAGATAACTTAAATGAGCTTTGGTTTCAAACATTTGTTCTCATTCCAATAGGCAGTATCATAGATGCAATCAATGCAGAAGGAAAACAATTTCCTTTCAACTCTTGTAAGGGTTCTGAGTTTGTGGGGGCCTCTACACAGGTTAACACCCGTTTCAGGAAGTCTCTGCCTCACACACAGGCATGTAACATTTAGACGGTTGCACACCACTTACCTTAAAACAAGAAGCTCGATACAGTAATTGCACAACGTGACCAATACTTGTTTTCGATGCCTGAGGAAATCTCGGTTCTAGTCTTTGCACAACAAAAAGTACCAGAACTTTCCTTGAGAGAGCAGAACCATCTTCTAATGCCAGCAACACCAGTTTCAAGGCCTCTTCTTGCATAGCTAGAAGAAACATGAGTTGATGATAAATGAGAAACACTGCAGATCCTATCTGTCACAGATTTCTTTGGTATTAGTTTACAGTGGTTTGTTTTCCACAGTCTGTATTTAATTAGCACACAAAGAAGACATCACGTACACAAATACAGTTTACTTAAAAAACATGTAGTCCCCCATAACTGCAGAGGATACATTCTAAGACCCCCAGTGGATGCCAGAAACTGTGGATAGTACTGAACCTTATATAGAGGAGTGGGTAAAAGCAGGTTTACAGTTGTGAATACATGAAACACAAAGGTTATTCTTGTATTATTATTTACTATTAAATTATTATATAATACAGCTGTATTGCATGTTTTTGCCTACATAGTAGGTCCTCACTTAGGACGGTCAATAGGCTTTGCAATTTTAAGGAATTTTCAGTGGATTGAGTGCCAGCCTGCTAGTTTGATTCCCAGTTTAGGGCACATGCCTGGGTTGCAGGCCAGGTCCCTAGTAGGGGGTATGTGAGAGGCAATCACATATTGATGTTTCTCTCCCTCTCTCCCTCCCTTCCCCTCTCTAAAAATAAATAAATAAATAAAATTTTTAAAAATCTTATTCAAGAACATGCTATACATACATATATACATACATACTTATGATAAAGTTTAATTTATAAATTAGGCACAGTAAGATATTAACAATAATAAAAATGTAATAGAACAATTATAATAATATTCTGTAATAAAAGTTTTGTGAATATGGTCTCTTTCTCAGAATATCTTATTGTACTGTAACTCATCCTTCTTGTGAAGATGTGAGATGATACAATGCCTACATGATGAGATGAAGTAGGATCAATGACATAGGCACTGTGACTTAATGTCAGTCTACTAGAAGGGTTAATTGAACACAAGCAGTGAAACACTTTGATAGTCTATTTAATAACCAAGGCAGCTATTAAGTGACTAATAGGCAGATAGAGTATACATTGTGGATGTGCTGGACAATGATAAAGTTAAAGAAAAAGTCCTTTTATAAAACAGAGAGATACTCTGATAATTACATAACATACAAAGGATACACAGTATCTAATAATAAATGATAACGTTTTTAATGCATGAGACTTACTTTGCCTGTCAGAACTATTTTGCATACAATTTTAAAGTGATATTAGCCTCTGGATGCTTTATCTAAAGAAAGTATTAATTTATGTTATTTTCCAGTGAGGGAAATATTTAGAAAATAAATGCCATGAAAGATATCTTTGGAATAACTGACAAACTGGAATATAAACTATAGATCATAATATTGTATCAATGTTAAATTTTCTGAAATGGATGAATGCGCTATGTTATAAAAA